CTGGGCTTGCGGCGGATTCCTGCAGTTCCTGTGCAGCATCTCTGCCGACTGCCTCAGGCCAGACATGTTGCCATACCTGAGCGTGTCTTGGCTGTGAAGTGGCCAGTGGAAAGGTTTTGACAACTGCAAGGATGTCCTCTGTGCACCGCAGGTGAACGATTTGCTGAACTGGCGCCTGCTTTCGCAGAAGACCAGAAGCCCCAAGGCCTTGCGTTTAATTACATGTGGCCAATGGCTCCTCTCAGACAGTAGATCTCTACGATCAAGCAGGCAAGTCGGCTTCATGTCTTGGAGATGCAGGGTGCTGCCAGGCCTTGCTGCAGCACGTGGCCGAGATGGGCAGCATGGAGAGGCACGGGACAGTCCTGGCACACTCGATGAGCCCACTCCCTCCGATTACGCAACTGCCGCTTTTCTGTGCACTGCAGTCAAGCCACGTCGAGTCAAGCACGTTTCACGAAAACCGTTCGATGCGTGCATGTTTGCAAGGCGAAGATCTCTCTGTAATTACTGTAGCAGAGTGGACCAGCACCGAGCTTTGTTGCAATTATTTGTGGTCGTCTTCCAAGCTAGTTCTTTCCCACTCCGGCCGCAGGTAGTTACATACATGTAAATGATATGCCATTAGTAAGTATGTATCAATAATGTATTTCAATACAATTACAGAATGAAACATGCGCCGGACCAAGGTCTGGTGTCTGACCGGTGGATCGGGTAAACCCAATTTTCGTTGTTACTAGTACTGCAGATGCTCTAGCAGAGCTTAGGAGAAGCTGACTTGCGTTGCGAAACTTCCACTTCGTGCAACTTATCATGTGCACTCATGCCAGTCGCTAGCTGCTTTCCCGACCTGCATTGGTTGAGAATCAGCGTTGCATTGCGGACGCGATGGGCGACGGCACTCCGAGTACTCGCGCATATGCTCGAGTATGCTTCAACATGCTCGAGTATGCTGGAGTGCCACTGCAATGTATAGCAGCTATCAGAAAACACAGTCATGGTACTCACTACTATAAAAACATACAACCTATATGACTATATGGTCTATGATATACGATTCACTAGTACGTAACATGTACTGTGTAAAATCTGATATACAATGCATAATAGGCATTATACAGTATGTAATAATTCTTTTTCTCATATATTACATGATGTTGTGAGTACGTGATATATAACGCAAGCCCCCACCAGCAGTCGCATTTTCCCGCCACAGTGCACGCACGCGTATACTTGCACATAGCTGCGCATATACTCCTGCATACTCGCGCACACTCACGCATACCCGCGCATACTCGCACATACTCGCGCACACTCGCGCATACCCGTGCATACCCACGCATACTCGCGCATGACCGCGCATACACGTGCGTACTCGTGCATACTCGCGCATACTCCCGCAAACCTGGCGGTCCCCAACCCCCCACCAGCAGTCGCATTTTCCCGCCACAGTGCACACTCGCGTATAGTCGCCGATACCCGCGCATATACTTCCGCATACCCGTGCATACTCGCGCATGTCCACGCATACTCGCACATACCTGCGCATACTCATATCCGCGCATACCCGCGTAACACAGACCACGATATTCATTACTATAAAACGTACAACCTATACGGTATACGATAAACGGTTCACTATTATACGTAACATGTACTGTGTAAAATCTGATATACAATGCATAATATGCATATTACAATATGTAGTAATTCATGTTCTCATATATTGCATAATATTGTGAATACATGATACATAATGTAACCCCCTACCAGCAGTCGCATGTTCCCGCCACAGTGCACGCTCGCGCATACTCGCACATACCTGCGCATATACTCCTGCATACTCACGCATACTCACGCATACGTGCGCAAACTCGCACATACTCGCGCACACTCGCGCATAAACATACTCGTGCATATTCGCGCATACCTGCGCATACACGTGCATACTCGTGCATACTCGCGCATATCCGGCGCTATCGGGACCACAATCTGCAGTCACGCTTTCCCGCCACAGTGCAATGTTGGGCATTTCTCAGTTACATGTCGTATGTGGGTGATGTGTTCTGCATTTTGCTGCCTGCAGCACAGGCCAGCCTCAGTCATCGCTTTTTCGGACAGAAATCGCGTGAATCAACCGGATTCGGATACTTCCATTGCGGCAGCCTTCGCGGGCGATTTCAAGTCGCAGAAACTTTACGAGTGTATCTTGGCCTTTTCAGCACTGAGCACGGCCACCATGTCTCTTTCTGGCAGTGCACTGCCGAGTCTCTTCCCTCTTAGGTCGGATGTGGTGCGTGGCCCTTGCACGTAAGCGATGGACCCATTTCGCAGAAAGTGACGTCCTCAGCATCGTGGGCAAGAACCTCCAGAATTTGCTTCGGCACTTCCAAAGTGCGGATGCTTCTCTTGTTGCTGCCGCCCGCTATGTTCTGTTCGACTATGCCTTTGATGGCCTCTACTTTGTGCAGCAGCGTGTTGCAGTGGTCATGCTGGACCGGTTGGAAGATTTGGTGGAGTCCAGCATAATTTCCAACCTTAAAGAGATAGTGGTAATGACGAGACAGCTCAAGACGATGCTGCGGTCTATGAGCACGGCTCAGCGTCGGAAGTGGGCGTCCCTGTTGGTCAAAATGCTGCTGGACCCTAGCCTTCGCGAAGAGCCAGTGATCGAGGAGCTGAAGATACTATGGCTGGTTGAAGACAATCCCAGGCGAACTTTTGCAGAAGCCGAACGGCAGCTGCGCATATTCGCAAAGTCCGCCTCAGCAGCTGTGCGGCGAGAGATGCAGGACCTCATTGGCTGAAACTGGCGTTTCGGACTTGATGCATGTCTTTGCCCGTGAGCCAACATGGTCACATGCTGCACAAGATGTTTGTGCTCTCGCACCATAGCCATGTGCAAAGCATCATACATTCTCTAGTTAGCTGCCATGCAGCCTGCCCGCGCACACCAACACGAGGCACTTTGTTTGCGCTTGTTTGTGTTTGAATGTATTGATCACAAAATCATCTCGGATGCAGGCTTCCCGCTCAGGCAGAGCAGGGTCCGAACAATGAGTTATTCTTGGGGTGTGGCTGTGCAGGGCGGTATTGCGGGCCGGCATTGCGGGGCGGCAGCGCTTCGGGAGCCCCAGAATCGCGCGCTCAATCGGTCTACGAAAACAGAAACTTAGCGCGTTTGGGACGGGGGAGGGGTGTAGAAGGAGTGCGGCAGCGTGTGGGAGCTCACACCTTTACGAATAATCGTGCTGCGGAAGGGGTGGATTGGAGCAAGAGTGTGGAGAAACCCTCGTCCAGCTTGCCGGGTCGGCGGGCTTGCAAGCTCGAAGCAGCGCAGCATTAGCTCATCATCGTCGGTATTGCCGTACAGACGATGCACTACGGAAGGAAGGCTCCATCAGGATACTGGGTTCACTCTCGAGTTGCAATTCAGTTTGCACGTGAGACAACCCTGCCGTGAACAGGCTGCCGTTTCCTCATGGCAGGCCCAGAGACACTACTACAGTTTGCAAAGGGTCTGCGCAACGAGTTATTCTTGTGGGGTGTGGCTGGGAAGAACGGTCTCCATGGTGCGACAAGGATTGGCTTCTCGGTTTGGATATAGACCGGCGAAACTAGTCTTGCGACACTTGCAGGGCCACGGACGTCTCCAGGCGCCTGCGGATCAGCTTCTCGTAGCAGTGGGAGAGCAGTCGGAGAGCAGTCGGAGGTCAACAAGCAGAAGACCAGTCGCTTGGCATCGGGTGACCTGGCGCAGCTCTCCTCCGACGAAGAGGCGCTTTTGCGCGAGAAAGGGGCCTTGACTTCGCTGCCGAGGACACCTTTGTCTTGCTTTTACGTAATTTAGGGAAAGGGTGCGAGATGACACGAGATACACAAGCACGAGAGCGTAGGCCCCACGTGTTGCACCCGTGACCAGAGGTGGATGCGACCGGTGAGCATTCGGCAGCCGGCAGTCGCGAGGCCGGAAAGCTTTGTCTTGACAGTGATAAGCGGCTCTTAAAGACAGTGTCATGATTGTCATGAGCAAAAGGCTCCGCAAGTGGCTGAGAGCCAGCTGGCAAAGGTGTCTTTCGACCCAGCAGAGGCAAGCTGGCACATACAGACATGCAAATGCTCTCTGACGCATTTGATCCTTGCATCGTGGTGTCGTGCGATGGCTGCGGACATTTATCTTCTTCTTTGACCTGCAAAGACTTGATTTCGGGCCGGCAGGGTTTGCACGTCCTGGCATGAAGTCTGAAGGGTGGGTTAGAAAGCTGCAGGCTCAGCAGATGGCTCACGGAGACAAAGCAGTCAGCTTCGAGGCAGGAAGTCAGATTCAGGAGCGAACGCAGCAGTGGCCAGCTTGTAAGGTCGCAAAGATTTCAGATCTCCCATCCACGTGCGAGGAGTCCGAAGATCAAGCACGTCGTGTCAGTGCTGAGGCGTTGGAGCTGGACTTTTGTTTTGTTCGGGCTGCTTGGGTTTTCTCATGTGTGCGTCTCTTTCTCTGTTCGTGGCCTTGAGCACGAGGTCGTGATTTTGCATGCCGGAGATGTGCAGCATGAGCAGGAGGAAGAAGAGGAGGAGGCACGCAGTGTTCGATTCCTCTGTGCGTTGTACTCCATGCTTC